TCGTGACATGTGCATTTTTCCATTTAACATGAGAACTCCCATAGACAAATTCAGAGATTCAAAAAACCGGAAGTACTTATTATATGCATACCAAACTTGAAACCTAAAGAGTATGTAAGACCTCCAACAAATGTGCAAAGAGAGATAACTCTTACTTTATCATAACTGAAATAAATAAAAATTTTATTATTTCAGTCCTCTGTAACTCCTACAAGGGGACAAAAAGTGACCCCACGGACCATAATTTTTAGATTGTACTCTTTAAGCTAAACCCAGAATAGAAAACTGTTCAAAAATTCATTGAGAATTAAAAAAGTTATGGGCAAAGGTCAGTTTTCAACTTTGGCCCCTAGAAATCCCTTATTTTCCAGATTTTCATTTTTAAAACTTAATGGTGTTGAAACAATATCACAGTCATTATAACACTCAATTTTCACAGGAATATCTTGATTACTTTAAGAGATATCGTGAAATGTGCAATTTTCCATTTAACATGGGAACTCCCATAGACAAATTCAGAGATTTATAAAACCGGAAGTACTTGTCATATGCATACCAAACTTCAAACCTTAAGAGTATGTAAGCCATTTAACTGATGTTCAAAGGGAGATAATCTTACTCCATTATTTTGGAAATAGATAGAAATTACATTATTTCAGTCTTCTGTAACTCCTATAAGGGGTCAAAAAGTGACCCCACGGACCATAATTTTTAGATTGTATTCTTTAACTGCAACCCAGAATAGAAAACTGTTGATAAATTCATGGAGAAATAAAAAAGTTACAGGAAAAAGTCAGTTTTCAACACTGGCCCCTTGAAATCCCTTATTTTTCATAATTTTGTTTTCAGAATCTAATCAAGTCGGAACAATGTCAGAGTCATTGTAAACTTTGAATTTCACCAGAATATCTTATTTACTTTTAGAGAAAACGTGGTACGACTGATTCTATTTTAACATAGAAACTCCTATAGACAATTTTCAAAGACCCGTAAAACCGGAAGTTCCGCTTGGATTGATATGAAACTTACAGTATATGTTTCACTTATTAGTCTTAATGTATTTCTATGCTCAAAATGATTTTGCTAACATTAATTGTGACTTTTAAAAATTTCATCCCCCCTTCTTCAATGTTTGAAGTCTTATATCTCAGAAAGTATCAGTGGTCAAAAATCACCGTCGCTAACTTTTTTGTAGGTATTGTTCTCTACAATTTATATCTTGAATTTGAGAGTCTAGTCATTGAAAATAAGAAAGATTTTAGCTTCTTTAGAAATTTGAATTTTTCCTTAGTAAAAACCGGAAGTGAGTATACCGGAAGTTCAAAACATTACATACGCGAGATATTTACATTTTCTATTTAGTGATTATGAGAGAAAAATCCCATTTTTAAAGGTACTCCTTAAATGCTGAACGAAAAAAGTGTTAAGTATAATAATAATAATAATAATAAAAAAGACGAAAACAATAGGGCTTTTCGCCTGAAAGCGAAAAGCCCTAATAAAAAAGACGAAAACAATAGGGCTTTTCGCCTGAAAGCGAAAAGCCCTAATAATAATAATAAAAAAGATGAAAACAATAGGGCTTTTCGCCAAAAGTCGAAAAGCCCTAATAATGTCCTTTATTAACACAGGATAGCACAATTAGTTTACAAAATGTCCTTTATTAAGACAGCTAGGATAGCACAACTAGTTTACAAAACTACCCTTGTCAAAATAGACCAGGATATCCCAAGATTTCTTGAGATTTTCTCAAGATTTCTTGGTCAAAAATCCCAGGAAGTCTCAGGATTATCCTGGTTCCTAACCTCAGGAATTGTCAGGATGGTATTGGAACAAGGATTTGTCAGGATTTCACAGGACATCCTGGTGAAGCAAAATATCCTGAGATATCTTGAGAATTCCTGGGAACCACAACTATCCTGACCTCAGGAATATTTCACGTTTCATGGTAGTATAAAAATCCTAAGATGTCTTGAGATATCCTGTCATCATCCTGGTCTCAGGAATTTGACTTTGTTGTGTAAAAATCCTGAGATATCTTGAGATATTCCTGAGATTGACAATCCCTTCACTGACCTGAACTCTGGAATTTGTCACTTCTTTCGAAAACCAGATTTAAGTTCTCAAAATGCATTTAAATACTGAGAATTCCCTTTGTACACTAAAAAAAAACAAAGAGTTATTAGGCAAATTATTCTTTAATCAAATGTTGTTGTGTTTTTTTTCTAATTGGAGCTTTAAAAGTCTTTCATGATGTTATGAATGGTGGTAACATTGACCCCATGGAAGCATTCTGTTATTAGGCCTGTAAAAGTAGAGATACTTTATTATTCGAAGACACTCGCATTAATGTTTATGTTAAATGTCATAATGAAAAAAAGAAAACAACTTTATGTAATTTTTTTGCTTTTTACACTTACAACATCTACTTGTGTTAAAACATAATTTTACCTTGATTTTATGTTCTCTTTTCCTTGTCGAGGCAACAAGGTGAAAACACCAATGAAATGGAAGTCGTCAGCTTCTCTTTACTGAAAAATATAAATTGCAGGTGGTTGACATATTTCCTGCTAATCTTTTTAAACACAAGAATAGTCAGCTTCTCCTTAATTTTTAATTAAACAAGAATAAAATTGGTTGAATAGGTTTAATCAGCATTTTTGAGATTCTTAAAAATATCTTTCAAATTTGACCCATTAAAAAATATCAAAGAAAATATACCAAGTAGTTTATTCCACATTAGGCAAGAGGCCTTCTCATCAGCTCATCTTCCAAATTGTTACTGCTTTTTCTATATGTTTCTGTGGGGGGAAAGATAGAGTTTACCTATAATATTATCAATTGCTTCGTATACAATATTATTACAACTAGTGTATGCACTATGCATGTCATCACACCCTGCTTATTTAGCACATTTGTCTTGTACATGCCAAACTTCTGAAATGTGTTCAACTGGCAATTAATTAACTCAAAATTATTTGTATGAAATTTCAACGAATACAATTTCATTGTGAAAAAATTGCATAGAGGCTGAGCTCATGCACAGTTCAATATAATCATATTTGAACCACAATGTCTGTTAAATTAAAGTTTAAATAAGTTTGTACTTACACCCAACGTCATGAACTATGAATATTCCCAGCTTCATTCCCTGAATATGTGCACATCTTTGTCCCTTTTGTGGATATAAACATTCCAGGCTTTTTTTTCAATGGATGCATTGTTTCCTTACTGTCTGTTGTCTTCACTTTTTCATTACTTCAGCTTGGCATTCTATAACAGCACACTGCATTTTCTGTAGTTCGGTGTCTATTCAAAGTACAGTCTCTCAATCAAATCCAAATAAATTTCTCTCCGCTGACCTCTTGACCTCATCCAATTTGAAAAACGCGGATTATTGAAATGGGTCACTCTTTGTCATTAAATCACTTGATTTCCACACTGTGCATTCTTAAAGATAAGCGCACAGTAGACTAGATCACGTTTGGTAACTTGTACACGTTTTGATTCCATTTGGGGTTTATGCATTTTTCGTTTTTAGTAGACGAGTGCAGCTATAAATGTTGCACTTACATTACTGTAACAACATTGTGAAATTCAATTTACGGTAAAAAAAATCCTGAACTTGAAGTTTTTAATTATTTTGTTGTAATAAATATTAACAAGAATTCATACATTACGGTACTAGTTACCAAATGTCCATATATATTATGGCGCCAAATGTTTGTATTTATGCAGAAAACAATCCATTTGTCTGTTTGCATCGCTTCATCTACACACAAACGATATTATTTACATAGCTAAGATTTTGATCTTTTCACTCATTCAAAATAGGTCCAAAAAAGCAGCAATTTCCATGGTAACAAGTTATTGAGGGGTATATCATAGGTCTAATATATTTGAAAACTTTATAATGGGAGTTGTACTGACCCCCTAGTATCTCAATTGCACTATTCAGTATTCACCTGAGAAATGTCCTTTTAAATAAGATGTCTTAAAAAAAACATCTGATCATCAATGCTGTGAAAAAAACATATATTGTCTCATGTATTATATGTTAAGTCTTGACTTCGGGATATTCTAGGACTTAAAATTTTAGAGACCTCATCTCAAGATATCCCAGGACTTATTTGATTCAGTTGGTGTTAGTTCAGAAAATGTCAGGGTCCTGAGATTTCCTTATGTCAGGACTTGATCTTTTGTAAAAGTCCTGAAAAATCCTGGGAAAATCTTGTTCTGGTGAAGAGTTAACATGAAGTCCTGATATTTCCTGACAAAATCCTGTGCCTGATGTCAGGATATCTAAGGATTTGACAATTGTCAGGAGCAAAAATTTTGGAGAGCAAGACATGTCAGGATATCTCAGGAAAATCCCAGGATATCTTGACTTCTCCTGATCCTCCAGGATTTATTTCTGCAAGGGTAGTTTACATTGTGGTCCTGAAAACATTTATACAGACAGCTGTAAATGTTTCAGTCCCTAGTGTCGATATCCAAGAAATTTGCCTATGTTTTAAACTGAACACTCAGGACCATAAAAAAAAAGAATCCCCCCCCCCCCCCTTGTGTTCAGTCTGCAGGGTATAAAATATAATTTTACCAAATTATGTTGTCGCCCACGTGGCGCAGTGGTTAGAGCGTCTGCTCTAGAGTTGCGAAGTAAGGAGTTGCTCCTTACATCGCGGGTTCGAATCCCACCGTGGGACGTGGAGACCGGTCCTTCGGATGAGACCATATAAACCAAGGTCCCGTGTCACAGTAGGTGCTGGCACGAAAAAGACTCCTCACTGCTCAATGGCCGTAAGTGCCGAGTATAGGAAAAAATTTGCAGCTCTCCACCTGCAAATGGTGGCATCTCCATATGATGAAAAATTCTCGAGAGGGACGTTAAACAACATACAAACAAACAAACCAAATTATGTTTCATAAATAATGTTGTTTTCGAAATTTAATTAAAATGTGTAAAATTTTATGAATAATAAAATTTATGTCTTTTTTAGCACTTTCCCAAAGAATCAGTGATTTAGAGGATAAGATTAAAAGTCAGCTTAACAAGGTAAGCAATCTTGTTTTTTTTTTTAAATGGACAGTATTTGATTTTCAGGCATGTTTCTTTTCTGCTTAAAAGCACAATTTGACTATCAAAATTTGCTCAATCCACTTCAAAATTTGTATTCCGCTTTTTTAGTCTCTCAATATTTTCCCATTATACCGTTATTGTCCAATAAATCTGTTTCGGCTTCACTTTTTCCTGCTTTATTGATAAAATGTAACATGCAATTTCATTGATTCTAGGATTGTAGAAACATTAATTCAGCCAACTGTTGGAAGTTTTACTTGAACCATCGATTGTGGTAATGGATGCAAAATCCGTATAAAGTGAATAAAGTCTAGAGAATTAAAATTGATAAAGGTGTAGTTCAAAGTATTTATTCAGCCCATTATTGGAAGTTTTATTGGAAATATCGATTATTGTAATAGATGAAATTGATATTAAAGACTACAATAAAAAGTTGATAATAAGTTGTAATAAAATAGCTTGTAATACTTGTAAATAATTTGTAATTTTTTTTCCTCAAAAAAAAGAGATAATTTCAAAATAACAAATAAGTGCCAGGAAATGCTCAGAATGCAAGATTTTGCACCATTCACTCCAGAGCTTTTGGGGACCTAAGCAGCCCCCAGACCTCTGGCCTATAAAGGGTCATCTATAAATCTGCTTTTTTTTTCATTTGACTTCAGAATCTTGTCTGGATTGGGGGGGGGGGGGGGGGGAGTATTACACTGCACATTAAAATATAATTTAATACATCAATCTTTCATAATTACAAATTTGTAAGCCTCAGTCTATGGGCAGGGGAAAGGGCAAAAATTACCATAATGAGTAATCAAACAATTTTTAATTACCTTCAATAATTCTAAGATAAGTCTTTAAAAGTAGAAACTGTGAATCTATAAAAATTAACTGTCAAGTAAAAAAAAGTGTTTGAACAGTTTAAAATATTATAATTACATTGTAATTTATTAGAACGGAAATTTGTTTCAACATGCAAAAAAGTGTTTAACAATATTCTACATTTTGGAGATACTTTTTTTACTCCTACCTAAATTTTGGGAGGGAAGGAGGAAAAAAAATTATTGTTGAACCCTTTGAACTATCCCTACCCTTAACATTGTGGCTATGCTCTGGAACCCCTGAAGTGTAAGTAAGAAGAATTCAGTCATGCAATTTCATATGAGCATAAGTTAAAAAAAGTTATTCAACGGGGAGATTTTATCTTTATTAGGTCACCTGAGTCACTCAGGTGACATATTGCTATGTTTTTGTCCATCATCATGCGGGGGTGTGTTGTGCGTAAACTTTTTACATTTTCGACTTCTGATGAAGAACCACTGGGCCAATTTCAACCAAACTTGCCACTGTGACAAAGTATCCTTACACTGTAGGTAAAGGTTATTCAAGTTTGTTCAATGAACGGCCATGCCTTCTTCCAAGAGGGAGATAATTAAGAATTAGTAAAAATTAATGGTATCTTTTAAAAATCTTCTCAAGAACCACTGGACCAGGTAAGATGAAACTTATATGGAAACATCCTCGGGTAGTGTAGACTCAAGTTTTTTAAAATCATAACCCCCAGGGGTATGGTGGGACCACAATGGACAATCAAAGTTTTACATAGAAATACATATAAAAAATCTTTTATAATCTCCAGATTCACAGGGCCAAGAAAGATGAAACTTATGTGGAAACATTTTCAGGTAGTGTAGATTCAAGTTTGATAAAATCATGATCCCCAGGGGTGGGGTGGGGCCACAATGGATGATCAAGTTTTACATGGGAATACATGGGAAAAATCTTGAAAAAATTCTTTTCTCAAGAACAGCAAAGCCATGATTAGTTATATTTACATGGAAACATCCTTGGATAGTATAGATTCAAGTTTGTTCAAATCATGAGTCTGGGGATGCAGTGGGCCACAATGGATGATCAAAGATTTATAAAAGCTTCCTCTGTCAGTTTGTTTTATACTACATGGATCCTCTATGGAATGTTGTTTTATACTCAGGTGTCCGTTAAGGCCCTTGGGCCTCTTGTGTAAATTTTTAGACCCCGTTGTAAGTTCTTTCAACAGAGCTAAGAATTAAAATCGCTACCTGAACTAACTTTTCTGTTATATTAATACCTGCAATAACTTAATAAAGTTTGGGTATATTGTTGTTACCCTAGTCCGTCCGTCCGTCACACTTTCTTCTTCCTCAAACTCCTCTTTTATTGTAAGCAGAAACCAATTTATCTTTTGGAATATGATACAGGTAAACTTCGTTATCTCGACATCGGATATGTCGACAACCTGGGATATGTCGACGTCCTTCCGAGGTCCCGGCAGTATTTACTATATAAATGATTTGCAAAAACTCTGATATGTCGACCTCGGTAATGTCGACAACCCAGGTTATCTCGACGTATATGCACAGTCCAAAGAGCAAAATTTACCTGGTTTCTGTCGAGATCAGCAATTTTCTGCTCTACTGAACCTAACTATTTGTCATATAGGGTCGCTCGTCACGTATGGACGACTCCGGGTATCTCGACGTCGTCAAAATTGCACACTTTTCACACCCATGTTTTGACTGCATGCTGCTTAGTTAATTCTGTAGACTGTGTTTGTAGGTGTCCTCGGCGTCTTTCAGAAGTTAATTGTTTAATGTTCAGCTTGGGTAATATCAGTGCTAAATCTACACGATTCTGTGTAAATGTACAGACGGTTACCGGGTATTTATATCAAAATCTAACATAACTTTTAAATTTGAAAAAGGTAACTATATTACAATGAATAACAAACACATTGAATAATTCAAACTAAGGAATTAAAAGATGTTTTAATGATATTTTGTAGTGAAAATGTATTCAACAGGAAACAATCCAATTAACGACACGATTGACCGAATCAGCTGTAATTCATGCATCTGTTACATCACGACGTTAGTTTAGATACACAGAACTCTTAAAAAAATAATTTTAATGTACATTCTTCCTGAATGAAATAAGAAAAAAATAATCTGCATTTAATTTTTTTCCGTATATCGGATGTCGACTTTATACGGTTCGAAGTTTATAGAGCACATTTTGTATCCTGCTCTGACAAAAAGGCAGCTGTAGCTTTGTGCTGAAACTTTGTGATTCAGAAAGATTTCGATAAAGAACACATTTTATAAACAAGATTTTTAAAATAACTTCTTAGATTAAATAAATATAGAGGGAATTCTGAAATATGTTGAGCTACAGTCTATACTCAAGTCATATACATATAATAAGCTTGTCTGTTTTGCTATGCAGTGAAATCTTGGACATCAAGTCTCAACTCTGATACCTTGACACCTTGGATATCTCGACTTTTTCCGATGGTCCCGTCGATGTCGAGATAACGAAGTTTAACTGTAGTTGGTGTCCTGTAGATTTGCAATAAAGTTTTGGAATTTTAAATATTACCCTCAGGAGCAAAATGGGGGCCAAAATATGACATTTTAGCTCACCTGAGCCGAAGGTTCAAGTGAGGTTTTCTGATCAAAATTTGTCTGTTGTTGTTGTCATAAACTTTTTTACATTTTCATCATCTTCTCAAAGGTCAATTTCAACCAAACTTGCCACAAAGTATCCTTGGGTAAAGGGTTTCAAGTTTGATCAAATAAAGGGCAACGCCATCTTCCAAGGGGAGGTAATTATGAATTTGTAAAAAATCAATACTTACTTAGACCTACTTAGGCCTGTCGTTCCATAGGCCATCAACAACAGTCCTCCAACGAACTCGATTCTGGGCTGCTTTTTCTGCGTCTTGCCAGGTCATGTAAAATATTAATGGCATCATTTAAAAATCTTCTTCACAAGAACCACTGTGCTTGAAAATATGAAACTTATGCGGAATCATTGTGAGGTAGGATAGATTTAGATTTCTTCAAATCATGACCCCTGGGGATAGGGTGGGGCCACAATGGGCGATCAAAGTTTTACATAGGAATACATAGGGAAAATCTTTAAAAATCTTCTTCTCGAGAACATGCAGCTAAGCCGTGATTGGTCATATTTATATGGAAGCATCCTCAGGTAGTGTAGAATCAAGTTTGTTTAAATCTTGACCCCCCCAGGGGTAGGGTAAAGCCAAAATGGGTAAAATGGGCGATCATAACATACTATAGATTCAAATATGTTTAAATCATGCCCCCAGGATGTAGGGTGGAGCAGAAATGGGAGATCAAAGTTTTACATAGGAATGCATAGGAAAAATCCTTAAAAATCTTCTTCTCTAGAACAGCAAAGCTATGATTGGTCATAATAATATAAAAGCATCTTCAGGTAGAATTTGTTCAAATCATCCCCCCCCCCCCGACCCCCCCCCCCCCCCCAAGGAGAATAGAGGGGCCATAACAGGAGATCATAGTTATACAAAGGTATATAAAGGATATATCAGAAAATATTTTCATCTTAAGAACAGCAAAACCTTAATGTGTCATATTAATTAATTCAAAAGCATCCTTAGGAAGTTTAGATTCAAGTGTGTTCAAATCAGAACACCCCCACCCCCACCCCCCAAAAAAACACCACTTATATGTTTAAACTTTTCAATACTGAACTGATTTCTGCTGCTTTTTCCTAGCCAAAGCGCTCAGGTGTGTGATGTGGCCCCTGGGCCTCTTGTTTCTTCAAAAACCTGGTTCCCAGAACTCCTCTTGCATTTTACGCAGTAGCCTAAACATTTTTTGAAAGATGGTTGGTGGTGTCCTGTAGATGTGCAATAATATTTTTGAATTTTCATTTTCACCCTAGGGGTCAAATGGGGTTAGAAAATTATGGGGGTTTTTACTAAGATCTGGTTCCCAGGACTCTTCTTACACTTTACACATTAGCTTAATCATCTTTTGGAAGCTGATTGGTGGTGTACGTCCTTTAGATGTGCAATAAGTGACATTTAAGTGATAGGAGTTCCATGTGACATTTGTAACAAAAACTTCTGGCTGTGTCCTTTTTTAGCCGGGCTTTGCTGAAAGCAAAGTCCTGGC